GAAGGCGCGACCAGACAAAGATGGTACCACCGTTAAACAAAAAGAAGAGAAGACAAAGACGGTGGATAACGTAGTAATCCGGTATCGGTGGACCAGAGCACACCCATAGGCCAGTCACCACTAAGTGCCAGCGGGGCTGTCCAAAGGCGACCGAACAACAGATAATAACAGGTAATCTATAATATCAGTGGGAAGATTTGCGTTTCGACGCTAGCAACTAACAGGAAAAAGTAGCAAAAAGTAAGCATTGGCTAACTTCTTTATGCATCGGTCAAGTCATCCTTAAACTGTTAAGTCAGCTACAGGAGGCAAAAATCTCAATTTGTTCCTTGTTAGATCCTTATGTTGGCCCATTTTGCTGGCCATTATTCATATGTTTATGTGTGTATATAAAGCTTGATTAGGCTATAATAAAAACAACTGTTTTTCAAATTATGTCTTTGTATTTCTGATGATACACCGAGAGAATGAGCTCATAGTGATCACTACAAGCTGAGCTGAACATCTCCAAGTCCTCTCAGCACAGTACGCAGTACAGTTGTCTGTATATTGTGCTACATTTGTATAGTGTAAGCATCTTTGATACTTTACTTGCAGGAATAAGAAAAAAAAGTTAGATACACTGAATATTATTTGATCTTTTCCACCATTACCTGCTTTCCAAATATTGTGGAGGTGTGTGGTTTAGGTGCCCTAAATACCCCTATATTTTCTAGCGAGACATTACCACCCCAAAATGATCACATAACCATCCTGGCCACCCCACAGAAAATTTTCTGGCTCTGCCACTGCACTTAAGGCATTTAGTTTTTAGCAACCCATCACGGCTAGTGCCACAAAAAGTGGTTGTTTTCTAGCAAGTGTTGCTGTTTTTCCAGCAGGGATAGTGTCATGAAAAATGGTTATTTTTAAGCGACCTGTCACTGTTTTTCCAGCAGGGATGGTGCAACTACAAGCGATTATTTTTTCAGCAACCCTTAGCTACTTTTCCAGTGGGGATAGTGTCACGAAAGCAGCCCCAGTTGCCAGAGAAAAATTTATATGTTTCTGCAAACTACAGATATGTTACATTTGCACAATATTATGCAGCGGATAAGTTGGAGCTTTACGTTTCAACAACGCTGTGGTTAACATGTGGTTAGGTTTAGGCACAAAAGCCACTTGGTTATGGTTGGGAAAAGATAATGTTTTGGCTTAAAATACATAGTTTTGGGGGCACTCTCCCACCTGGAAAAGCAGCAATGTCTCAGTAATAAACATACCCTTTCATGCCACTATTCTATTTAGAAACACAGTGAGGGATAGTTACAAAACACCTACATTTGGTGCCTATAAAGCTGCTGGAGAAACAGTGCAGATTTAAATCTTATGTGTGATGAGAATGAGACGCCAAAAGATTGTGGACACCAAAACTTGGCACGCATATGTAAATTATAAACATCTCATTTCACAATCACTTTGCATTAATCTGCTGTTATTACAGTTATAGCCACAGTGGCCTAATGGATAAGACACTGGTTTTCTAAACCAAGGATGGTGGGTTTGTTAATAACCAGTAAAGTGGTTGATTGATGATCCTCTGCAAGGGGAAATACTTTTCACATTCTGTTTATACCTGGTATTAATATGCAGCTTGGGTGATCCCATGACAAGTGGACAATATCTTGTTAGTCATGAACACTGGTCTGCAGCTTGACGGGCCTTTTGTTCCTGGGTGACAGGCCATCCATCATTCCATCCACCTCATGATGACAAATTCAAATTCTACTTTACCTTAGAATAATTGATATGATTCATATGAAACATACAAATACAAGTTATCCATGGTTTGCAGAAACATACAATGGCCACATTTTCTTCTGGTGACTGGTCTGATATCACTTCTCAGGCAGTTTGACACAGATTCAAACCTGAACTCTAACTCTCACATAACAACCAGGTGGGCTGACGATCCACGAGACCTTATCGACTTTCAGTGTGTGAGTGTTTAACGCCCTGGATTTCCCACCAGTCAGTCTGAACTGAAGCTTTCAAAATGTCCACTGGAAGTCCAGTTGCCTTTAGCAAAATAACAAAAAACAGTACATTAAATATTAAAGATTATAGCAATTTATATGTCTCTGTGATTTCTCAGAGTGCATTGATAAGCAGCAGTGTAACACAGAACAGAAGCTCTGCAAGAAAATCAGGGGTGAAATGATCCTGTAACACTCACCTGAATGTGTGTGAGAAGCAGTGTCTGATGTCTCCAGCCAATATTACAGGGAAAGAATGAGACCTTTTGGCCTGGCTTAGCAGGAAGAGCTCAGGTGTAATTAATAACATTAACGATGGCCATTCACATTGTTACAGTTATTAATTATGCCTGTGCCTTCTCTGCTCTCACGTCAAAATGTCTGCCGTGACAAAGGTCTATTATATGGGCTGAGAGCAAGACAATAGTTATATTTATAACCCTGAAGCCTGTTGTGAAATGGGTCCTTCTGGTTAACTATAGAGTCCATGAATCATTTGATTAATCCACTCCATTAATTATGCTTGGCACAGCTCAAAATACATTTGAAAGAGAAGTCCAAAAAGTCTGCCCTCCACTTCTTCTTCTTTTCTGTCATGTCTCTATATAACAGCAGTCAACCCAGTCCGCAGAATAAATGTTGGCATGGCACGTTTCTCGCAACCATAGATATGTGACATTTGTATGTTGTTACGTAGAGGACAACTTAACCATTCTTTACATTTCAAAAATGCTGTGGTTAATTTTTGGTTAGGTTTAGGCACAACTCCACTTGGTTATGGTTAGAAAAGATCATGTTTTGGCTGAAAATACCCAGTGGCAATGTGCTCTCCATCTGAGCTTCTCCACCGGCATACTCCCTCCCACAGTCTTAGGTCTGTTGATGCAAACCACCTGTTATTATAATTATCATTATTATTATTACAATTATTAAAATCACGACTGGAATAGTCACAAATATCTCCATAAAAATGACTGATTTTGGTGGCACAGTAATTCCTGGAGATGCTACTGATGTCTCGCTAAAGAACAACCAATTTTAGTGAAACAATAGCTGCTGGAAAACCACCAATGTCTCACTGAGAAAATACCTAGTTTGGTGGTACAGTCACAAAAAAATACAGTTGATGTCTCACTAAAAAAAAAAAAAAAAATGCTTTTGGTGACAAAATTACAGCTGGTAATGCGGCCAATGACTTGCTTAACCCTATGGGCCCTAGGCGTTTTTGGGGTATTTTTTACTGCCTTTAGTTTTAAGCTCATATCACAGTCATTATAAAGGCTACATACACATGCTATATCTTGTTTTTTTCAGGACAATGTGGGCAAAAATGTGTTTTACCTGAAAGAAACATGCAATATTTACATCTAAGATCATAGAAAAATAGTCAACCAAGTGCAATGATGTCCTCCAAGATAAAATTTGCTACTTTGTTTGCAGTAAACAAAGTTTGTTGTTGTTGGTGGGGGGGGCACGTGTCCCCCTCAATGTATATAGTGACTACGGCCCTGTCGGCATGCATAATTAGGCTGCAGTTGTCTGGGTGCGCAAAGGTGAAGTATGCTGGTCTTGTCATACAAAGTTTGATGGCGTGTCAACTGGACAATATGGAGATATTTGCATCTTGAAAGCCGGACTACAAATGTGGATAGACAGGGAGAAACACACACAAGCCTAAGACGTGGTAAGATACGATATTCCTCACTATATGAAGTGACTGATAACAAGATCTGTATAATGGATTGTAAAGAAATTCGTCAGGTTTTTGTTTTGTAGACAATTGATCTGCATTGATAGCGTGATGGGATGACAGCACAATGATGTGTGTGGTATCACATGAAAGCTCTGCTCCTGTGCTTTCATGTGATATGCGTGGCATTTCTGTGCGAGCCTTCGTTCGCGAGTAATCCATCCAAGAGTAATGTGTGTGCAGAGCTGCATGAAAGCTCTGTTATTCATGATTTTAGTGTAACTTTATCATTTTTTTTCGCTGTGAAAACATTGGACTACCGACAAGTGCTTGGTCTTGTCGGAAAGCTGTGATTCTGCTGTTTCACGTGATATGGCGCACGGTTGCGGAAAATCAATAGAGAAGAACAGGTGTGAATTTGGACGCACTATGCGTCGTTCGGGCCCATAGGGTTAAAAATACCAAAAGAAAAACCAGCTTTGGTGGCACAATAGCTGCTGGAATACGACCAAATTTGTCTCTACAGGAAAGTGCCTGGTTGGGTGGCACAATCACCACTGCAAATGCAATTGATGTTTTGCTAAAAAAACATTCATTAATGGTGGCATAGTCACAGCTGGATATGCTGGCAATGTCTAACTAAAAATACCCACTTCTGGGTAAAATCATGGCTGAAAATGCCACAAATGTGTCTCTAAAAAACATACAGCTTTGGTGGCAAAATCACAGCTGGAAATTACACAAATGTCACCCTAAAAAACAACCAGTTTTGGTGGAACAATAGCTGCTAGAATACTGCCAATTTCTCGCTAAGAAAATACATGGTTTGGTGGCACAGTTGTCGCAGTAAAAATGCTGTTGTTGTTTTGCTAAAAAACACTCTCTTTTGGTGGCATATTCACCACTAGAAATGCCACAAATATCTCACTAAAAAATATCCACTTTTGGTGGTAAATCATGGCTGCAAATGCTGCCAATGTCTCACTTAGAAATACCAATGTTGCATTTAGAAAAGATCTAGTTTGGTGACACAATCGCTGCGGGAAATGGCCTTGTACAGTGGCCTGCAGCTTGGCAGCCGTCTTCCCTTGGTGTCACACCATCTACCATTCCCTCCACCTGCCAATATCAGAGTCAGCTTGTATACATGTAATCAGAAATATGCCACTTTTAGAAACGTGGATATGAAACCCACAATGCCAACACTTTCCTCTAGCCCCCGAACTGCAGCATCACTTTACACGTCAACCTTTGTCTCAGAATAATAATCTAAAACACAGCAACATGGAAACATATTTACATACTATAACATATTATTTCTCTTAGGTTCAGTGACAGTTTTCCAATCAAAGTACAGAATCAGAGCTGTTGGATGAAACAGGTGCAAATATAAACACACATTCTCGAACTGTTGGTTTTTCTCTATGAACTTGTGCATTATTTATAACCTGAGACTGTCACACTGAAAGTCTTATCACAGTGTAGCTTTACTTTGAGTTATGTATATTATAGAGGTGCATTTGTACAGCAGTTACACATAAGCAACAACAACATTATTTCATGTTGCAAGCTTGATTTATGCGGCTCCTGTCACCTGCAGTGAAAATAGGCATAAAATGCATAAAATGACACAGTGCTTCAGTAATAGCTTCATTTTTAGCAGCTTGATTTTTCAACATTTTTCTTACTAAAGTTAGATTGATGTTGGCTTGGTGTCCACAGAGCCACCAATAACAGCTTTATGAGATAAAGGTGAATGTGCCACACCAAAATAAGAGCACTTTTTGAGTTTCTGTGCACAATTAGCCTTGTCTATTTACATAAATACATAAAAATATCACACAGTTCGTAAACATGAGGAGCAGAAACTGTGTGATGTCTCGGTCCTTCCCCCCTTTTCCCTTTATAACACATGAAGGTCCTTTACAGAGTTAATGGATGGTCCCTGGCTTGGTGGGACGGTGCTGCTTTGGTTCAGCTGCTCCCGAGTGGGTGGAGCAGGGCTGCGCCGCTGGCTGTCCAGACCCAAATGTGTGCTGATCTGCGACGACCGAAGGCTCCTCGTTTGGCCCAGTGCTCGCACCTCATACAGCTCCACTGAGGTTTTCTTGTACCTGCAGAGAACAGATGGTTATTATATTCACCTCTGAATTCGAGACAAAATATGATGAAACATTTTAAGAGGAGAGACCATAGCAAACAAAAGTCATAGGATACACCAGAAAAAATGGAAGAATTTACACTCTAAAGGAGGAAAATATGTGTAATAATGCACATATAATTCAATATTTACCAACAGTTCTTGCTTGTAGATGTTCTTTAGAAGTAGAAATTGTGGGGATTTCATTTATATATCGAGTAATATTAGCAAATAAGCAACATGTAATATTTGCTGAGTAGGATACTATTAACAGATAGCAACTCACATTTTCAGCAGTAGAGAAGACAGAACCACTGAAACAGACGAAGCAGCCATCGCAGCAGAGCCCATCCAGGGTTGGAGCACCAGGCCAACAGGCATGAACACACCTACAACCAGCAGAGGGGAGGGATGCATGGGCAACACTGATTTCAAACAATATATAGCCTACTGAACAAATGGGCAATCAAAGTCTAAAAAGTCTAAGCTTTATTGTCATTTGTGTGTCTGCAAGTCATGTTGTTTGCAATCTGATTTTGCCCTTAACAGTCTTGCTTGGCTTTGCTGCTGCCCACAAGGTGCCAGTATAAATAAATGGTGGTATTTCATGTCAGTTTCTTTTGTTTTCATTATCAGCATCCTTTGATGGTTCAATATAACTGTCTTCTTTTGCATTTTCCGCAACCAATTTGATTCACAGAGTAGTTATCAGGCCAGTAATGTCACCTCTTCACTTTTCTGGGAATGTTGGATTTTTAACCAAAGCTGTATTAAAGCTGATCCCTTTTAGTGAGTCATCTTTAAATGTGACTTTTAGGCAAATTAAGAGAAAAATATATTCCTACGGTAGAATTAGAGGTGCAGTCAGAGATTATAATCCAATATCTCTTTACAATCCACAAAAAAGGTGTTCATACAAAGCCCTGGCTTTGTGAATGAAAAACAAAGTTGCTTGCACTGAGCTGAACAACAATGTTCTACATTCTCTGAACTCTCATGCAGAGGACAGGAGAAAGGCTAAGGCTGGGTCTCAGTACTCAATACCTTGTAGGTACCTTTTAATCCTTTTTGTACCTATACCTTGAATTTTTTGTTTTTTGACTTGACGTGACATGTGATTTGCCCACTACTGCAGAAGCTACATCCCATACTGTTCACAAACGTTCAAAAGTATGGCGGCATTTTATGCAACTGGATGATTCTATTCACATGATGAGTATTAAATGAAGTAGAAAACAAGAATTACTGCTTCGTGGTTGTATACTTCCACAAACTAGTCAAGTTGTAGTTACGGTTTATTGTCATGTCTGTGAAAACATGGATGCTTCACTCACATCTTCCCCCTGGCAGCACAGAAGATCTATAAAATCAGCGCAGTTTTAAGGTGGACACCAAAGATTAGTGTTGACAATTCAGTATCTGACCAAAGGTTTCCCTTTCTGTTCCTGGGATATGACGTTCCAAAAAGTGTTCAATGCAGAACATTATGATGTCACAGTGAAGCTGAAGTTGAACTTTGACCTTTTGGATATATAATGTCATCACTTAGACAGTTTTGTCATAATTAGCGTATGAATTCTTGAGTAATGGCCAAAAACATGTATTGTGAGGTCACAGTGACCTTGACCTTTAACCTTCGACCACCAAATTCTAATCAATTCATTCTTGAGTCTCAGTGAATGTTTGCACAAAATTTTGAGGAGACTCCCTCAAGTTGTTCTTGAGATATCACATTCACAAGAATGAGACAGACAAGGACATAGTGACCTTGATCTTTGACCTTTAACCACCAAAATATATTCACTTCATTGTTGATTTCAAGTGGACGTTTGTGCCAAATTTAAAGAAATTCACCCAAGGTGTTCTTGAGATATCACTTTCACGAGAATGTTACGGACAGACGAACAACCCAAAAACATAATGCCTCTGGCCACGGCTTTCGCTGGCATGGAGGTATAAAAAGGTATCAAATGAAATACTGTACTGGTATCACTTTAATGTTATTGGTATTGTAATTTTTTAATGATACCCAGCCCTAGCAAAGGTCACGGATGTATTAATAGAAAGGCAGTGTAAAAAAATTTTTGTAAAAAAGTACTTGCTGTCATAATTTGACAGAAGACTGCTGGTGTAATATCATTTTTCACCTGCAGCAATGGGTATTCCTAGAAGGTTATAGATGAGGGCAAAGACAAAGTTGGTCCGTATCCTCCGCACCGTCTTCTTCGACAGCTCAATACTGGCCACCACATCCAGCAGGTCGTTCTGCAGAGAGTAAAAACCTTCACTTTAAAGACGTCATGCTAACTTCACACAGACTGTCAGTCACAGGGTGTCACCTACTCGAATGAGGACGATGTCAGCCGCCTCAATAGCCACGTCGGTGCCCGTGCCGATGGCAATGCCAACGTCGGCCCGAGCCAGGGCGGGCGAGTCATTGACGCCGTCCCCCACCATTGCCACTCGCTTGCCTTGTTCCTGAAGCTCTTGCACTTTTGCCACCTTATGTGAAGGCAACACCTCTGCAAACAACTTTCTGATCCCCACCTGAGCTCAAACAAAAATTAATTTCATTTTATCTCATATAACTCTGCTGCCTTTTTAAAGACTCCTTTATAAATGTTTATTTACCTGTGCAGCTATGGCTTTAGCTGTGCGCCTGTTATCTCCCGTTATCATAACCACGTCAATGCCCATGCTGTTGAGCGTATGCACTGCTAATGCTGCCTCTGCTTTCACCGTGTCTGCAATGGCTAACATGGCACACAGCACACCTACAGAGAACACACACACAACATGAGGTGAATGATAAGAGATAAAAGTAAATGTCAGTGTTGCTGTTTTTTTTTTAAGGTTTTATCCTCACCATCTATAGCCACCAGGATAGCAGTCTGCCCTTTTGTCTCGTGGCTGGACATGGCGGCATCAACGTCTGCTCCGATGTGATGACCGTTCCTCCTCATCCACTCTCTGTTCCCAATCAGGACAGAGTACGATAAAGGCTCACCTGCTGACAGCAAAGAAATACTGGAAAAATCAAACTGAATGTCTATGAGTGAGGACAAGGTGATGGCAGATAGAGCTGTTTTGTGTCTTCTTCAGGTGTAAATTAAAGGGTTAAGTTAAAGTTCAATATTTCCCAACCTGGACCCTATTTTTCCATGTTTTTACGCCTAAGTGACTAATACCCAAACCCACCAGACTCCATTTAAAAAAAAAACAGTTATTTAAGCATGTATAGAGTAAGCATGTTTTCACATCTAATTGGGTAAAGTAAAAGTTTATTTCAACCAAACCAGAGTTGGTGATTGTTGGAACAGCAGTAAGGTGAACCAACAATACTTTTGTGAGTTTTATTTTATTTCTATTGAGTTTGAATGAATTTTGTTTTACGATGATAAAATTTCTATTTATTTAAAGGATAACTTTGGTATTTTTCAACCTGGGCCCTATTTCCCCATGTGTATGTGTGCGTATGATTCATAGGTACAACTCGTTCTAAAATTGGTTCAGTATTGAGGGAGGCAGATGCAGCCAGCAGCCGCGAAACGAGCTAAAACGGTAACGAGGGCAAATGCGTCCCGTATAAGTTTGCGCATTAAAAGTGCTTTTTTTCGCCACTGACCGGTTCAGATCGCCAGTGCTATCTCTGTAAATAGCATACCAAGCGTTTCCCTGACCCTTCACTTCCTCTGGGCTGTGACGTCATCTCGCGAGAGCTTTGCTTGTCGCCGGAAGAAAACAGAGGAGCCATGCTGAGCGCCGCTCAGAGTGGCGCTGGTTGTCCCAGAGTACAGTTGAGAGTTTTACTGCATCGATTGAAAACAATGGTTCGTGTTTGTGCTTATCGGAATTTCAAGAACAGGATGTCGCGCAACACCCCGTAGAGCTTTCATAGGCTGCCTTTGTCAGACGGTGAGATGCTGAAGTTGTGGCTAGTTGTGCTACAAATGGATGCTAGCACTCCTGTCCAGACACTGCACTTTGCAGACCATCGGGTCTGCAGTGTTCACTTCTCCCAAGATGACTACTGCCAGCCGAAGAAGAGAAGACATCCAATCCTGAAACACCTCTTCCTCAAGAAAACGGCTGTCCCACGAGTAGAGAGAGCTACAGACACAGTGGAGGTAATGTTATATAAACAATGTTCGAAACCCTTAGTATGCTATTTACAGAGATAGCACTGGCGATCTGAACCGGTCAGTGGCGAAAAAAGCACTTTTAATGCGCAAACTTATACGGGACGCATTTGCCCCCGTTACCGTTTTAGCTCGTTTCGCGGCTGCCAGCTGCATCCGCCTCCCTCAATACTGAACCAATTTTAGAACGAGTTGTACCTATGAATCATACGCACACATACACATGGGGAAATAGGGCCCAGGTTGAAAAATACCGAAGTTATCCTTTAAATTGAGTCTGGTGGAATAGGCCAGGGGTCACCAACTACCAGAAGAGCCATTTTTGGTCCACAAAAAAGAAAGAAAATTAAATCTGCCTGGAGCCGAAAAATATATTTGAGCCTTATGTTAAAGGTGACACAGCCTTAGTAAGTCTGAATCAGCTTATCAACATTACTAACAGGTCAAATCATTAATATGTTTTACTATAAGGTGGCTACTTTGTAATAAGGTATTTATGAATATTTGGTACTTTGTAGCGTTGGCGGTGAAAGTGAACAAATCTGTCTATGCACTATTAAGTTCATTATTTTTCTCCAGGACTTTTCCTTTCTGGATTTGGAATCCATAGCTAGCTTCGCTAAAACCCAGTTCAGAGCAAAGACTGGCAACAAGAAGAGTTCAAACAGGCAGCTATTTGCAATGCACCGATCGGCAACGTTCTAAAACGTTTTAAAACGTTCTGTTGAAACAGGGGACGTGCTTTATGTTCTAAAACCAGCCGCTGGTGATTTGACCAGCTGAGTTGCAGGTGACACCATAGGCCGGCTTGAGTCACTGCAACTTTTCTGTGTAACCTTCTGAAACGGTTTTGTCTCATCTGGAATCTGAGGTCTGAACTGGGCTAAAGGATACTCAAGATGAGCCATCGCTCTTGTTGTTCGGCAAAGTTTAGAGAAAAGGCGCCTGGGGGATCTGATGGGTTAGTTTTGGTTCCAAAGGTACCATGATGAAAGTGGCTACAGGGGCTATAGTTCCTGAATGGGAACCTTGGCCAGTAAATGTTAAACACTGGCCAGTATTGGGATGGAACCCGGCATTTTTAACACCACGCTCTAACCTTCTTAGCTAACCAGCCTACTTGCTGTGGTGGTTTAGTTTAGGCTTATAAAAAGGGGAATTGTGCCCACACCTGGGATAGGTGATGGCAATTTTAGGGCTGTTTCTGATTAAAGAAAAAGGATATTACTCTTTAACTAAAAGGTCTATCTCTGTAGGGATCCTTTCCATAATGCTGTCAGACACAAAAACAAACTCTTTCAGTGGGCGTAAATTGACAATGCACAATTGCCCCAGGTGGTTACATTGCATTTCATTCACGCTGCCAGCTGCAACACTCTCACACAGAACTGGCTCAATTTCAAAAAATGTTGTTCCCATTATCAATTACACAAAAAAAAGGAAAACAGGGTCAAGGCTGAAATACATCTAACCTACACTTTAAGGATAATAAAGGTATATTTATTTTAGAACATAACGTGGTTAACAAGAACTTGGTTTATCTTATTGTTTCCTTTCATAAGAGCTTTGTTACCAATACATCTTGGCTATGGTCACATTACAGGGACTGAGTTGTGAGCCAGCACACATAGCTCCTAAATGGAAACAATGCCCAGTATGGAAATTCTAAATACTGACCAGTATGGGGTTTGAACCCATGACCTTGGTATTATTAGCACCATGCTCTAAACATCTGAGCTTACAGGCCTGGTTGTTCTGTTGGTTTAGGCTGATAAAAAGAGGGATGTTGACTACAACAACAACAACAACAAATGAATACCTTACATAATGTATTTGTTTAAAGGCAGATGATTGTCTAGAGCCAGACAGCTCAGGCGACATTCAAATAAAGGGGAAAGTAGTTAAATTAATGCCACGAATCTGAGCTGGAATACAATGAAAGCAGTCATTTAAACATCAGGAGGTAGATGTATAATTCTGCGTGTAATCCCAGAAAAGCCATCACCTGCAGGCGTGGCCTCGGCAGCAGACAGCAGGCTGCTTTCGTCAGTGGTGGCTCCTGCCAGCAGGAAATGCTCGTCGTTCTGCTGCTGCAGCAGATGTTCCACGTTGGAAACCCGGCAGCTGATCCCACACCCGGGCACTGCCTGGAAGTCCTGGCAGTAACCCAGCAAGTCACAGCCCAGCTCCTGTTAACATGCAAACACACAGTTGCTTCACTGAGCATAAAAACACAAACTTGTGGTTTTTAAGGAGACTTTGAAACACACATGCACACACACAGAAGCATCCCTCTTACCTCTTTGCAGTGTTTGGCAACTGCCGTGCCCAGGGGGTGCTCGCTGCTGGCCTCCGCTGTACCAACAACCGCCAGGATCTTCCTCAGAGGCATGCGGGCCATTTCCCACAATACCAACACGCGGGTGACCTGCGGTACTCCATTTGTGATTGTACCCGTCTTATCAAACATCACCACGCTGATCTGAGGAAGCAGAAACACCAATCATGATTCCATCATCTATTTAATGTTTTCTTTTTGATCATCTTTGTGTGGTAAGTAGATTTTCGATGGTGTGATGGCAGTAACAATGAATGTTACTTATTCACCTGTTATCCATCAGAAATGTTCACCATCATGTGTATTTTTGTGAAGTCATTGATGTGTGCAGTCCGCCCAGAATGATAAAAGGTTTGTTTGAAGCAAAGCTAAAGTAAAAATCCAGTGTTTCCACGGCCTGTGCCGCTCTCACGGGAGTATGTTGGATTTAAACGTTGTTTTTGCCCCCAGGCAGTCATTTTATCATTCTGTGCAGATCATGAAAATACCTTTGAAGACCCGTGACCTGCAGCTGGATTACAGGTAAAATAAATAAATAATCCTCTGACTTTTTTCCCCCCCTGAAGGAAGTAATTTTGGGAGTGCTGAGGTCAGGAACGAGGGGAAAAGTCACCAAAACCTAAAGACGTCTTCCTCTTTGGGTCTTTGGGAAAATGTGCACAGGAAATGTCATGTAAAGACTACGAGGTGTTGAAGTAACAAAATTAAATGATAAAAAAGGAGGTGATGAAAATGCATGTGAGTTAAGAAATAGAGGATGGATGGATGTTAAAGGAAAATAAGTGATAAATCATCAAGTGATTTGATTAATTTAAAGCTGATTTCATCATCAACAGTTATGATTTCTTAGAGTCTCATTCCCAACTTGAAATTGCCATTTATTTTTTAATAAAGTGGCCTTAAGGGTGGAAGTGACAAAAAATACTGAAAATTAGACATTAGCCTCCACAAAGCAGTCAAGTTGCACTTAGAGTTTACATCTATGTCTGTGAAAACATGGACACCCAAGATAAGTGTCACCAATTCAGTATCTGACCAAAGTGTCTCCCCTTCTTTTCCTGATAAATGATGTCAAGTCATAGCCTATAAAGTGTTTTTGCAGAACATTATGATGTCACAGTGAAGTTGACCTTTGATCTTTTGGATATAAAATGTCATATACTTTGACCTTCGACCACCAGATTTTAATCAGTTCATTCTGAACTCCGAGTGGACACTCAGTGGTCAAATTTGAGCTCAAGGTGTTCTTGAGGCATCACTTTCACGAGGATAAGTGGGTGCAAGGTCACAGTGGCCTTGACCTTTGACCACCAAAATCCATTAGTTTATCATCGAGTGCAAGTGGATTTTTGTGCCAAATTTGAAGAAATTCCCTCTTTGCTTTTCTTGAGATATTGCGTTCACAAGAATGGGATGGATGGACAAACCAGGAAACATAATGCCTCCAGTCACAGCTTTTGCCGGTACGGAGGCATAAAAATGGAAGTGATGAAAATGCTTAAGAATTAATAGTGTAAGTAATAAAAAGAATGTGAATTGAAAAATAGAGCTATAAATTATCAAGTAATTTCATTAATTTGTCTACCATTTATCATTCACAACACCCAACTGACATAATTTACATTGACAATTTTTGTTACCTCTGCCCAAAAGCATTTATCACTCTATTTTTCATTTCACATGTATTTTTCATCACCTCCACATTTATCAGTTAATTTTTGTTACACCCACCCCTCATAAAAATATAGCCACAAGCCACAATAGATGGAGGTGTTACAGTGTCAAAAAAAGAAAAAAAAAGCCTGTAGTGCTTTTTATCAATCTTTATTTTTTTGGTGAGTTACCATTGCATGCTTCCTTCTGTGCAGTGATACAGTTGGGGGGTGTAGTTTGGTAGAAAGAAACACATGAAACTGTTGACAACAAGGTCTGTGGATTATCTTGAGTAACCAGGTCATGAATTCTGGAATGAGAAATTGCTGTCGAGTTTTTCAAGGGTATTTTTGGCCAAGTATTAGTGCGATTACTGGTTTATCTCAGCGCTATTTCCCAGTGCCCAGTGGGTAACTGAAATGCCAAATTGGCCAGTATAGGGAACGAACCTATGACCTTGGTGTTATTAGCACCACACTCTAAGCAGCTGAGCTAAGCGGCCTACTTGTTTTGCTCCTCTATACGGTTAGCAGCTGTAGTTCGGTAGACAGACAATAGCTCCTATACGATACTGCTCAGAACGAGGTCTGTGGATTATCTTGCGTAACTGGGTCATGATTTCTGGAAAGAGACATTAATGTTGAGTTTCTCAAATTTATTTTTTTGGAGCTTTGAGCACCAAGCAGAGTGCCACCTATAGTTCCATTATATTGGAGAGAAGGCATACATCTCCACTGGAGAGAAGGCCAATATCTCCAAGACTTGGCAACTCACATCAAAACAATCTAAACTGATAAATAGTACTACAGGTAAGAGGTAACTACGTGCAAGGACTACAATTTTATGCTTATTATATGAAGAGCTACAAATAATTGTCCTCCCTACTTTTCTATGATTGTGATGTGGATTAGATGAAGGCTGGGAACATTTTTGTACTCTTTGTTGTATTAAAGTAATAATAAAAACTAACAATAAATTTAATAACATACAAGTATCAAAATGCTAATAACAGCAGAAGCAGGATGTAAAGACCTTGTGTGCCATCTCCAGCGGCTCGCCTCCTTTAATGAGGATCCCGTTCTGAGCTCCGACTCCTGTGCCCACCATTACAGCTGTCGGGGTTGCCAGCCCCAGAGAGCAGGGGCAGGCAATGGACAGAACTGTGATGGATGCCTGGAAGGCAAAGCGGACGATGACCTCCGCCTTGGAGATGTTTTGGTTGTAACCCTGAGAGGAAGAGAAAGAGTTATTGCAGTGATATCATGAATGCTTTCTTTTAAATCTCTCTGAAAGCAGCTGTTGTTTGCATATCAAAACATTTGTGACACACCTACCGGGAAATTCTCCTTCACAATGTCAAAGTTGACAAACCCAACTGCCAGCCAGGCCACCAGCGTCAGCACAGAGACAATGACTATGAAGGGCACAAAGTAACCGCTGAGCCTGTCTGCAAACTGCTGGATGGGCGCCTGAACAAACACAAGAGAGAAGAGAGGAAATATTTCTATTGCATCTTTGCTCTTCATGCTCATTTCTGTTTCTGACTTTGTGTGTTATTTTATACCTGTCTTACTCTATTACAGCTTGTTTTGCTTTCTATTCTCTTGGCTCTTTAAATACTGTTTTTGGGTGTATTTAAATGTTCTTTTATAATGTGTTTTCTTGCACTTTATCTCAATGTTTTTGATGTTTTATGTACAGCACTTTAAACTGCCTTGGTGCTGAAATGTCCTATACAAGTCCTATATAAATAAACTTGTCTTTTAGTGTTTCTGTTAATAATGAAAATATAAACAAAGGTGCATCTCTGTACATGTATTTGGATAACGCTAAATCCATCTTCACTAATTATGTACCCAGCTGGCACACGAACCAACCTTCAAAGTTTAAAAGTGGTTGAAATTATGTCAGTTGCTGTTTCAACATTAAAGCCACAGTGTGTAGGAATTTCTCCCATCTAACGTTGAAATCATATATTGCATTCAAATAGATGGCACACTCTAGAGCCTCACTGTTTCAAACATGTATTGCAACAACTGTAGCCGCTGTGTACCAAAAAGCTATGATAACACTGATGAAACCATGTCATCCGATACTACATGGAGTATTCATTCAGGCTCCTACACAGACACGCGACGCGAGTTGACAAACCCCCTCCTCACCATGCTGGCTGTGTTTACAACGTAGGACTGTTGGGGCAGATGTAAATTGAAACAAACCAATCACGTCTTGTCCTTTGACAACTGACAAGTGGCTCAACCTCACACACCACATCCCTCTCCTCGCATTACTGCGCCGCTAACAGCTGTTAGTGGCCAGCGGCACTACTGCCGCATAACAAAGTTCCACTCTTTGAGCATAATGCAGGATCATGTATTATGCAGCATCACGGGAGACGGATTCCTTGTCGCCAAGAAAGTGCAAAAGGGAATCAAAAAGGCAGCGTGACCGGCAAATTAAAAAAACAAGGGTCAGCATTGGGGTTGCCTTTCCCAGGTGGAGAGAGCTGCTGAAGGAGAAAGGTAATACAATCACAGGCCAGCGCTAACAGCGGCTAACAGCGGCTAACAGCTAACAGCGGCGCAGTGATGTGAGGAGAGGGATGAGGCTGTTAGCAACTGGCCGCTTACAGCGGCTAACAGCCAACAGCGGCGCTGGCCTGTGATTGCATTACCATTCTCCTTCAGCAGCTCTCTCTACCTGGGAAAGGCTACCCCGATGTGGGCCTTCGTTTTTTGAATTCGCCGGTCACGCTGCCTTTTCTATTCCCTTTTGCGCTTTCTTGGCGACAAGGATTCCGTCTCCCATGATGCTGCATATGCATGATCCTGCATTATGCTCAAAGAGTGGGACTTTGTTTCAGATTTGCCAGGGTAGTAGAGAAGCGCCTCTTGCTCCTCTCCTTTTGGCTCCTCAGTCACGCAGTGCTGGCCTGGCTCTCAACGAAAACGCCGAAGGTGGGGCTGTATGTCCTTTGCTGGCGGGTGTATTCTCAAGATGGCGAAACATAATGGAACCCCACAGACGACTTACCCGCACAATGTACAAACAAATCTGAAATCCTCCTTTTATGAGAATAAGTCAGATTATTGGTAGAGGTAATAGTACACCAATGATGACATATTTATGAATGCAGACATCAATTTTTGCCAATAAACAACTGCAAATGTTACACAATGTCCCTTTAAAACAATATTTAATTCTGATGGTCATAAAAAAAATTAACAAAATTCTCATTAATCAACATTGAAATTTGAGAAAGATCTGTTTCAACATTAAAACAATTTTGAAACAACATGTAAAGCTTATAAAACAATATTGCGAAATCAATGTTAATTCATGTCTCAAAATCAAAACATAATTCAACAGTGATTCAACCATGGTGTATGACGTTGATTTAACAGTGAATAAGAGAGAAGTATAACCAAAATATAATTTAAAAAAAAGTATTAGGATGAGAAAACATCACCTTGTACCACAGCAAAGATTGATTTTTTCTTAAATCTTCTTTTTATTATTAAAAATGAATTAGGGGCGTCGGTGGCTTAGTGGTAGAGCAGGCGCCCCATGTACAAGGCTGTTGCCACAGTGGCCCGGGTTCGAATCCAGCCTGTGGCCCTTTGCTGCATGTCATTCCCCCTTCTCTCTCTCTCTCTCCCCCTTTCACGCTTACCTGTCCTGTCCATTAAAGGCAAAATATCTTTAAAAATGAATTAATTGTCCTCATTTTTCTCTTTCCAGGACACTCATTTTTTAGAAAATCTGAAACAGCATGTTGAATTTTAAAGGGATAGATCAGATCTTTTGAAGTGGGGTTGTATGAGGTGCTTTTCCATAGTCAGTATAATACCTACAGTAGATAGCAATCAGAGCACTCAGAGTTTGGAGAAGGCAGGAGTACCTGAAGCTGAGCAATGCACTGATGTGGTCAGGGACAGCAGCAAAATGTATTAAGCCAAGTGAACAAATCAGTATCATCTTAGGTGTATGCTGTGTTTAGAATATTTTCACCACTTTACTTTGCAGTCAGACAGACCTTTCCAATGGGGAACTGAAGCTGTTATATCGATCTCTTCAACCTCAGACTCCATTAACAAAAATTGCAATTTTAGCTTGCTGCACACAGGAGCTGCAGGTCTTCCACTGCCTCAATCAGTAAGTTTGTCTGTGTTAGTGTGTGACTTTTAGTGAATCTGTTTGTCACACATTGACAACTGATCGAAGCAGCAATAGAAGATGGTTTTGAAGAGATCAATATAACAGCTTCAGTCCCCCCATTAAAAATCACCCTCTGACAACAAGGTGAAAATATTCTACATATAGCATACATTTAAACTGATATTGATTTTTTTAAATGGCAAAACAATTTTTTGCTGCTGCCCAAACTGGGGGCATGTCCACTGACGCCTACTGTGGGTAATACACTGACTATGGATAGGTACCTTATACCAGAGTCCTGCACCGGGCTTGGTACCCGATGGGTAACCCACAAAAGGCTGTGTAACAGGTAAAAAATAAATAAAAATACATGCATATATAAAAAATGTAAAATGTACACTGCAAAAATGTACTACATGCAGGTGTTTTTTATTTTTCAAAATAAAACAAAGTAAAAAGATGTGCAGTATATGTGTAATGTTTTGACATTTAAATCACCATTATCAAGCCACAGTTCCTTTTATTTTGAAAGTCAGTGACACAAGTTGAAACTTTGGCCCTGTTGTTACATTTGTCACCGACGTATGGGACTCCACTGATGAAACTTTGCAGCCTGAGGATGAGGTGGCAGCCTACATCGAGTTTAAGACACTCAAGGAGGATCCTTTTGAGGATTTGTGGTGGTGGAAGAAGCATGCTAGAATGTTTCCTAACCTGGCAGTGATTGAATGTTTTCACCATCTCAGCATCGAGCACAGCCAGTGAAAGACACTGTTCCTCCGCTGGATTTGTAATTAAAAAACAGAGAACCCAGGTTAATGCAAGTGACTGTAGCCTGTGTGTGTTTATTCACAGGTGTGGGCGGGTTAGAGTTGCCACCCGTCCCGTTTTTCCCAGAATTGTTCTCTTTTTTCATCAGCTGTCCCGGGAAAAAAAAAATCTCTCCCGGGACACAATTTGTCCCGTTTTTTGGGGAAAATGCAGCAGCAGCAGGCCAAGGAGTCCATCCAGAATGACGCATAGTGTGTCCAAATTCACACCTGTTCTTCTCTATGGTTTTTCTCCACAACTGTGCGTCATAGCGAGAAACCACGCATATCACGTGAAACAGCGGAATCGTAGCTTTCCGAATGTTTTCACAGCGAAAAAAAAATGATAAAGTTACACTAAAATGATGTATAACAGAGCTTTCATACAGCTTTGCACACACATTACTGCTGGATGGATTACTCGCGAATACAGCATCGCACAGAAATGCCACACGTATCACATGAAAGCGCAGGAGCAGAGCTTTCCAGTGATACCACACACATCATTGTGCTGTCATCCCATCACGCTATAAATACAGATTAATTGTCTACCAAATAAAATCCTGACAAATTTCTTTACAATCCATTATACAGATCTTGTTATCAGTCACTTCATATAGTGAGGAATATCGTATCTTACCACGTCTCAGACTTGCGTGTGTTTCTCCCTGTCTATCCACATTTGTAGTCCGGCTTTCAAGATGCAAATATCTCCATATTGTCCAGTTGACACTCCATCAAACTTTGTATGACAAGACCAGCCACTTCACCTTTGCGCACCCAGACAACTGAGGCCTAATTATGCATGCATGACAGGGCCATAGTCATCGTATACATTGATAAAACACATTTTTGACTTGTGAATGAGTCAATGGAATTTCTTGCAATAATGAAAAAATACTGTCAATCATGTCCGCCTGGCACAAACCACATGTTTTGGACAGCTGTGAAGTGACAGAATGTCCCACCATCATGGTTCTTATATTACCAGATTCCAGAGAGTCTCCCCTTTTCGTATATGGCAGAATATGTCAACTTCCAACTTGCTATGCTGAGATACATGTAAAAATGTAAGAATTTAGTAACACAGATTTGTTTTTTTCATTGATATAAAAATTAATATAAAATACAGGCACATAGAAGGACATGTAATGATGGCAAATCTGGTCTCCTATGTCCGAATTTCATGTTCATTGGTCAGTCTGAACTGGTAATAATGGCCGAGCCCTCCGCCTCAAACATTTGGTCGAGTGTCCCTTTTTTTCACACATCCAAGGTGGCAACCCTAGGGCGGGTGTGACTTTGACTTAGACATAATGATAGGTAACAGGTCGGTTCTGGGACTGAACTTTACAGGCGGGTGCAAGTTTTCAAAAACAAACCTGTGCAGGACTCCGCCTCATACATCCCTACTTAAAGTATTCCTTTAAGAACTGGCAGATTTTTTTTCTTGTTTAATAACAAAACAGGTTTGAATGGTAACACATTTGATATTAAAGGACAAACGTGACCTTTTTTTTTTCTTTTTGCAGTTCAAGCAGCATACTGTGTTTTCATTTGTGAAAACATCAACTCAGAAAGAAAAGAAGGAACCCCGCACACTGACCATCGCTTTTTTTTTATAAAGCTATAAATGAGAGGATCAAGCTCAAACTGCCTCTTACCTTCGAGGTCTGGGCCTCTTCCACCAGTTTAACTATTTGAGACAGAGTTGTGTCTGCACCGACGTGAGTGGCCTCCACCAGGAGGGCACCGTGAGCGTTGATAGAGCCGGCAATCACCAAACTGCCCACCTTCTTACTGACAGGCATCGGCTCACCTGATGGAAGCAGAAAGGCAGACCAAAAAAGATGTTACCAAAGAAACTTCACCAATTATACAAATGGTTAATTCATAAAGTCCTTCTGCAAACAGAATGAACAAAGCTCTTGAAATATTTTTTCTGTGATTGTTTTATCAAAACTTAATTTTAAGGCTGTAAAATTGGGTTTTATGTCCTTAATGGTTTGGAGGTATATGGTGCCAGCTAATGAATCCATTAAAAACACTACCAAATGCTAAGTATAACTATTCTAAATTGAAATCAAGCAGGATTGTTGCAAACTTACAAACATAAAAACAGCCAAAAACAAACTTGACTGATCCCTGAATTTAACTGCCTTGTTTCAGTCAGAGCTCACATTTATGGGCACAATTGTGAATCGGCTGCAGTGTTTGCTGCTTGTGCTGAACAACAGCCACCAGGAAGCTGATGTTAACACTCTTCTCAAAGGCTAATAGTTTGCAGAAATGCTTTGCTTTTACAATAATTAACTTGTTAGCTTCTGTACAAGAAATTCTTGAATTAATTCCCAAAAACTACAGTGTATCAAAGATGTGGCTGAATTTTGATTTCACATGTGTGGGGGGTGGGTACAGTTAGTACAGCTACAGAGCCTCAAAAGGGATTTAGTTTTCCAGATACTCCTACCCAAGGTAGAACAGAACACAATATATTTTAGAGCAAAACACATCACACTAGACTTTTCTCTTACAGTTTACATCCATGTCTGTGAAAACATGGATGCTTCCCAAGATTAGTGTTACCAATTCAGTATCTGACCAAATGTCTCCCCTTCTGTTATAGATATGATATTGAATACTGGCCAGAAAAGTGTTTTATGCGGAACATTATGATGTCACAGTGAAGCTGTCCTTTGGCCTTTTGGATGTAAAATGTCATCACTTCATTATTTTATCCTATGAGACATTTGTGTGAAGTTTTGTCATAATTGGTGTATGAATTCTTGAGTTATGGTCAAAAACATATTTTGTGAGGTCACAATGACCTTGACCTTTGACCACAAAAATTCAAATCAGTTTATTCTTCAGTCCAAGTGGATGTGTGTGTCTCAGTTAGAGAAATTCCCTTAGAGCAGGATTTACACTTCTGTGTCGAATCAACGACATAGAGGCTACACTGTAACCTACACCGTAGCCTACGCCGTAGTCTATGCCATAGCCTGACGCGCCTCCCAGAAATGTAACTACACGTTGTGATGACAAATGAAGCTTTATTTACTTTTATTTTACAGATAGAAACAATAAATTGTGAAGACAGTAAAGCCTCCACAGAATTAGCATTTTAAGTCTTATGTAGGATTTATCCTGGCTTCATATGAGAAGAGGTAATCTCTGCTAGTTGCTAGGCTAATTTAAACAATGGCAAATTTAATAGGCTTGTGCTAATAACATTAGCATTTTATATCTGTTTGGAAAATGTGTTTAGTATAAGACAATTGTTTTGTCAGTGAACCTTGTGACTTGTAATGGAGCCAAATTTTGTAACGTTACCTTTTTTAAATGTTGCTGTTGTCCCTGGTTTCATATGAGTTTAGGAAAAGTCTGCTAGCTGCTGCACTAATTCATACAATGTAAAATTCCATAGGTTGGTACTAAAAACATTAGCATGTTTAATGTGTGTTTAATGTGTGCTTTGAATCAACTAAACTTTACAGCAGTTCACAGAAACCCAGCCACCGACTACTGTTTTGAAAGTGTAACTGCACAGTGACACAGACACACCACTGCACAAGTATAAATGCTCACAGCGACGTAGGCCATAAATGTACTGTTTATGTCTCTTTTATACTTTTATACTATAAACTAAAAATGTAACTCCATTAAACCCCATGGAGCTTCAGATTTTAAAATATATCTCCTCTAATAATGTTTAAACCAGACACTTTAAGACCCACCAAGATCCACTATAATACTGTCAACCACTTTTAAAGACCAGTAAAATAGAAATAAAAAATTAATGAAAAATACAAAACTAATAAATCTGGGTCCAATAGTGTGGGGGACATGTCCCCTGTGTCCCCCCATAAATTATGTCCCTGCTTCAAACAGCCAGCAATCTGGAAGCATTAATTCATGTCGTCCATAACCAGCTGTCAGCGGGATATACATTCACCACACTTCCTCCTACCTGTGATCAAGGACTCGTCTGCCATGGAGCTTCCCTCAATCACTTTCCCATCAACGGGGAACTTTCCTCCTGGAACAACTTTCACGATGTCGCCTCGCTGCACTAGCTCCACCACCACCTGCTCCTCACTGAAGTACACAAATGTACATACACTTACAAATCCAGCATATTAATCTGTAAACTGCTCAGAGTATCGTGTGTGTCTCACCTGATGATGGAGTGGTCAGGTCCCAAAGTGACCACAGTGGCATCAGTGGCTTGAAGTGACATTAATTTGGCCAAAGCCTCTGAGGTCTTACTCTAAAAATGCAGAAACAACAAACACATTTTAAACAAGGTCCGGGCTCATGTTTATGGATTATTTTAAAGGTGCAGTGTGTCGTATTTAGACCTTTAATAATAGATTACAAACATGTAACATAAGTTTAATCACTGGAAACAAAGAACAGTGTCATCTATATTTAGTGACCCACTTTATAACAAACAACATGAAGAGGGAGCTGTTCTTCTCAAGCCTGTGTAAGATGGCAGAGAAAGGGCTTGTGGGAAATGTGGTTCAATAATACCACTGGCAAGACATAGAAGATCAACAGCTATGTTGTCCATGATCTCATTTGTTTCTGGTGATTAGTCCAAGGTGTTAAAATAAATGAATGGAGTTTCAAAATGAAACACATTGCACCTTTAATTTAGCAACATACTCCAATGTAGCAGTCTTATCACTAACAAATTTATGAATGTGAAAAAGACAACTTTTAAAGTTTCAAGCAGCAACAAAATGACACTTCATTGACACTGCAAACCATGAATACATTTGTATGTTTTATGTTTTGTTTTTACAGCGGCAATTTAGGCTCCAAACTTGGGTGTTTTGTAACGACCTATCTTTTTCTGATGGCATTTTAAGCTCCAAACGTGGGTGTTTTGAAGCGACCCATCAGTGTTTTTCCAGTGGATTTTTAGGCTGAAAACATGGAGATTTTGTAGCAATCTGTCTGCATTTTTCTGGTGGCATTTCAGGCTCCAAATGTGGGAGTTTCATAGCGACATGTCTATGATTTTTCCAGTGGATTTTTAGGCTCCAAACATGAGTGTTTTGTGGCGACTTTTCTGTGTTTTTCCAGCTGCATTTTTAGGCTCCAAACATGGGGATTCTGTAGCAGTCTGTGTTTTTTCAGCAGCTTTTTAGGTTTGAAACAGGTGTTTTGCAGCAACCTGTTTGCGTTTTTCGGTGGCATTTTGGGCTCCAAACATGGGTGTTTTGTTTAGCAACTCTTCTGTGTTTTTTTGGGCATCTTTATAGGCTCCGAACAGGTGATTTGCTGATTTTGCCCCCAAAACGGGGTATTCTAAGTCAAAACATGATCTTTTCCAACTTTTACTTAAACCTAACCATATGTTTCCATATGTATCCACCATACAATAACGTGCAACATATCCATGGTTTGCAGAAATGTATAATGTCAGCTTTGTTTTTGGCAACTGGGGTGAGAACTCCAAAACAAGTCTCATGTTTTTTTTATACTTTTGCAACATGCTCCAGCCATCGACCCAGCGCAATGAACACAAACAGCATAGGTGGAGTGTCAAAAAAGGTGACAGGGCTCTGGCTGGCTCGCTCCGCCATGGCTACAATGAGCACCACTCAGGAGTAGATGTAGGCAATAGAGGTGGCCAATGTAATCAGCACGTCCATGTTGGCTGTGCAGTGTTTTAATGAGCGGTATGCCTGGATGTAGAAGTATCGGCCTCCAAAGATCTAAGGGAAAGAAAAACAGATAATGTTTGAATTAAAACCACAATCTCAGGACAAAATCTCTGTGATGAATGTCCCTGCTGCTAAAGGCCAAGCAAAGAAAGAATGGGTGGTATTTTCATTCATAAGAGTCCTTGCCAGGTTATGAACCCCAGGTTGGTGAGACAGTCTGCTGCCAAGAGCTCTAAGGCATGTTTTGAAAATATAAATTTACTAAGTTGTAGGATCACAAGACACAAGACCCTTCAGAGGTAAGAAAAAAGAAAGCTCTAAATGAACTCTCTGCATTTATCCTACACTTGCATTTCCATGTACAGCTCACCTAAATATTAAGAAGATACTATGAAGGTCCCAGTACCAGATAATATTGTGCACCCTTACCTGCACAGGTGTACAGAGCAGGAAGAAGGCCAAGTTGAGGAGGGAGAGGCCAGGCAGTATGTTCTGCTCCTCAGGCATGGAGCCTCCGTGTTCCTGGTGCTGACTGTCCATCACCATCATGTAAATCATGAGACCCATGACAGGTAGGCCGAAAACAAGGCTGAGCAGAAAGGAGTTCTTCCACCTACAAAGAAGTTATTTCATTCTCAATAATTAATATTTATTTTTTAAAACATATTAGTTATCTTATATTTAGTGGCATATATATATATATATATATATATATATATATATATATATATATATATATATATATATATATATATATGTACAGTACAGGCCAAAAGTTCGGACACACCTTCTCATTCAATGCATTTTCTTTATTTTCATGACTATTTACATTGTAGATTCTCACTGAAGGCATCAAAACTATGAATGAACACGTGGAGTTATGTACTTAACAAAAAAAGGTGAAATAACTGAAAACATGTTTTATATTCTAGTTTCTTCAAAATAGCCACCCTTTGCTCTGATTACTGCTTTGCACACTCTTGGCATTCTCTCCATGAGCTTCAAGAGGTAGTCACCTGAAATGGTTTCCACTTCACAGGTGTGCCTTATCAGGGTTAATTAGTGGAATTTCTTGCTTTATCAATGGGGTTGGGACCATCAGTTGTGTTGTGCAGAAGTCAGGTTAATACACAGCCGACAGCCCTGTTGGACAACTGTTAAAATTCATATTATGGCAAGAACCAATCAGCTAACTAAAGAAAAACGAGTGGCCATCATTACTTTAAGAAATGAAGGTCAGTCAGTCCGGAAAATTGCAAAAACTTTAAATGTGTCCCCAAGTGGAGTCGCAAAAACCATCAAGCGCTACAACAAAACTGGCACACATGAGGACCGACCCAGGAAAGGAAGACCAAGAGTCACCTCTGCTTCTGAGGATAAGTTCATCCGAGTCACCAGCCTCAGAAATCGCAAGTTAACAGCAGCTCAGATCAGAGACCAGATGAATGCCACACAGAGTTCTAGCAGCAGACCCATCTCTAGAACAACTGTTAAGAGGAGACTGCGCCAATCAGGCCTTCATGGTCAAATAGCTGCTAGGAAACCACTGCTAAGGAGAGGCAACAAGCAGAAGAGATTTGTTTGGGCCAAGAAACACAAGGAATGGACATTAGACCAGTGGAAATCTGTGCTTTGGTCTGATGAGTCCAAATTTGAGATCTTTGGTTCCAACCGCCGTGTCTTTGTGAGACGCAGAAAAGGTGAACGGATGGATTCCACATGCCTGGTTCCCACTGTGAAGCATGGAGGAGGAGGTGTGATGGTGTGGGGGTGTTTAGCTGGTGACACTGTTGGGGATTTATTCAAAATTGAAGGCACACTGAACCAGCATGGCTACCACAGCATCCTGCAGCGACATGCCATCCCATCCGGTTTGCGTTTAGTTGGACGATCATTTATTTTTCAACAGGACAATGACCCCAAACACACCTCCAGGCTGTGTAAGGGCTATTTGACCAAGAAGGAGAGTGATGGAGTGCTGCGGCAGATGACCTGGCCTCCACAGTCACCGGACCTGAACCCAATCAAGATGGTTTGGGGTGAGCTGGACCGCAGAGTGAAGGCAAAGGGGCCAACAAGTGCTAAACACCTCTGGGAACTCCTTCAAGACTGTTGGAAAACCATTTCAGGTGACTACCTCTTGAAGCTCATCGAGAGAATGCCAAGAGTGTGCAAAGCAGTAATCAGAGCAAAGGGTGGCTATTTTGAAGAAACTAGAATATAAAACATGTTTTCAGTTATTTCACCTTTTTTTGTTAAGTACATAACTCCACATGTGTTCATTCATAGTTTTGATGCCTTCAGTGAGAATCTACAATGTAAATAGTCATGAAAATAAAGAAAACGCATTGAATGAGAAGGCGTGTCCAAACTTTTGGCCTGTACTGTATATATACATGTTTTTTAAAAACATATTAAAAAAACATATCACTATTTGGTATATATATTTATATAGCTCCAACAAAGTCAAGTGTAGCCCCAGTGGCCTAATGGATAAGGCACTGGCCTCCTAAGCCAGGGATTGTGGGTTCAAGTCCCATCTGGGGTGAGTTTCAGTTTAGTAGCCCAAGAGGAAGTGTGCTGGGCCAATAACTCAGATTAACATGGCTAAACCAGGCTGTTCGTATAAAAGAAGCACCTGAAAAACCTCAAAAAAAGGAAAACAATGTTTGTGTAATAATAGGCTCATTAGGGACGAACTGCGCCTCGCCTGGAAAGTAGACGAGACCAGGCGGCTGCAGCAGGAGGCAGTGACAAAAAGCTGCGGCCAAGTCAGACAGTTTCCAGCAGCCTTCAGTCTGTACAGGAAGTCACAGAAACACTCACATCCTGTCTGGAATGATGTCAATTTATAAAAATATTGTCAGACTTATATATGTGTAAATTTGTTCTCAGTCTTCAATTGTTTTAATTATGATAGATTGATTTATTAAAATGCTTTACAGGTGATCTGTAATTTATGTTAATGGTTCACCCTCTATTTTACATGAATTCTCATGTAAATCAGCATTACATTAGTTTGCTGCTGCGGAACAGACCTGTCCCCTCAACTACACAGGCTAAATAAACAGTGTTTGACTATAGGTTAATATTTTCAGAGGAAAAAAATACAAGACAACAGCTTTCATTACAGATCAGTCAGATATAATCAGGGCTTCACATCTGTACAGATGTTATTATAAGAATCCTCACATCCCACTGACCACAAGTCTCTGTGCTGCTAAACAGGCTTGGTTAATAATTAAAACAGTCTATGTTAATATACAGTAGACTCTGTAGAGCTTATGATGAATATATTTAGTCTCTGATGACTAAACTTCACCATCAGTCACACAACATGTTTTCTGTTCACAGAATAAACCTTCAAATCAGACAAATAAAATTTAAATCTCTGAAATTCACCAAAAATTGAAAGTTCATCTAAAACGTCATCTTGTTGAGTCGACATCTAAACCAATCAGCTGTTAGATCAGCTGAGTGCCAGTCAGCGCAATCGGTGGAAAGCAAGCAACTGCAGCGCCTGGCTCTAAAAACTGCGGCCGCCTTGCTCTCGCAATTTTATCATCCTCCACTTTTGTAATACGTCAGAGCAAGCCGGGATGAAGTTGGACACAAAACTAAGCGGCATGCATTGTGCGCCGATTGCTGGTGATCGAATCTGCGCAGGCCTGGCTCATCTCGAGGAGCCTAATGCTAACAGCCCTGTGTGCATATGTAAGCATCCTAAAAGCAACAGCACAAAGAGCTTCCACTTGCAGTGACTGTACATAATCACTTTATTCACATTATTTGCTGTATCTGTTTCTATTGCACTTAGTCACATTAACCCTTTGTTGATACTCCAACTTTTCCACCTTCTCCAAGGGTTAAAAATTTTGTAATATTTTAAGATTTGTTTTTAATTTTTGGTGTTTCCTCTTAGGTTTTCTTTAAGCACATGGTGATATTGCGCATAAGAAGAGGTGGATTGAAACACACTTAGTGTCATTGCTGCTGTTGAATTTTACAATAAAATATAGTAAATGAATATAGTTATTCATTTATTTATTCATATATGTCCTATTTGATTATCAAGATTTTTATTTATTCACTTATTCTTTTATGTATGCATGTATGTATCTGTATATTTATTTCAGAATTTATTTTCTTTATTTACATATTCATTTATTCCTGTATTTATTTATACATTCATTTATATTTTTAAAGTATATTACATGGATTTATTTGTGCATTTATTTATTCCATCGTATTTCTTTTTATATATTGATTTGTTTATTCCTGTATTTATTCAAACATTTATTTATTTTTTTTAATCCCTGTATTTATTTCTACAGTTATTCATTTATTCCTGTATTTATTCATATATTTATTGATTAATTCATCTATTCCTGTATTTACTTATCCATTTATTTATTTATGCATTTATGTATTTATTTATTTCTCTATTTGTTTTTACTTTTATTCATTGATACTTAAGTCATGTTTTGTCCTCCACAGATCAGAAAGGTCTAGCAAAGTAACACTACACTACCAAGACAACATGATAATAATGAGGACACTTTCATGTTTGTACAGCCCCATATGTAATGGATAAGGCACTGGCCTCCTAAGCCAGGGATTGTGGGTTTGAATCCCATCTGGGGTGATACACAATCATTTAGTGCATCAAATCTAAAGTAATAGCAGTACAGTAATAGTAGTTACAGGTTGTTGCTGCCATGTGCTGGGCAGTTTTTTTTATCTAATCTGCCCTTATCATCAAAAGTAAGTGTGTCTGTGTTATGATGAAAATTAATAGGTATTTGTGATGCATGAAGGCCAGTGTTTCTTAAAAATGAAACAACAAGAGTGCACTCATTCTGATTACAACAATTTTAAACCAGATACTTGCTGTCGAATTTCTTCCATGTGATCAAGGTTGTTTTTGAAGCGTTCCTTCACCAGACTGGCCTCGAAACCAAGGCTCTGGAACGAGAAATAGAAACTAAGATGCAGTGTAATGTCAGCAGGAGAGGAGGTTTAAAATACAGTCTGAAGTATAGGAGATTATAACCTGAATGATCTTGATAATATCTCGAGGTCCGATCACTTCTGGGTCAAACTGGATTTGGGCTTTTTTGGTTGCCAGGGCGACAGAGGCCCCTTGGATCCCTTTGGTTGAGGTGAGCTTGGACTCGATGTTGTGGACACATGATGCGCATGTCATGCCTGTTATCTACCAGGGAGAAATGGTGGAAAGACATGACTTTTTTGTGGTGTTTTGGGACGAAAATGTGTATCATCTATTGTAAATCTATTATATTCCTTTCAGCTGACTCACAGTAAGGTCCAGTTTCCCATGTGTTACCGCATTTTCCTCTATCAGCTTGGCACCAAATCCTAAGTCTTCTATCAGCTGAGTTACAGCAGCAGCATTTATGACCTCTGAATCATATTTCACCTCCGCCTTCCCAGCCATCAGTGACACCAACACGGTGATGATTCCTATAAGTCACAGTAAAATAGCGTCATTACATTTCTAAACTAAAACAAATATTATACAACAACACCTGAGCTTGATTCACCCTTGTGTTTGAGCAGGTTCCTCTCAATGTTGGCCACACAGGAGGCACAGGTCATTCCCATTACGCAAATGAAGCATTTCTGTACTTTAATCTCGCTGGCCAAGGTTGCCTGTGATCCAGTGCCATTGCTGACTCCCGACTTATTGGGAAATTGCAAGTCAGAAAGGTCAGAAAGTCCAGAGTTAACAGGCCTGGACTTAACATGACCCTGGAGGGTCTCTGATGCAGGTTCTGTAGAGGAGGAGGAACAAAGTCAGTGGCAGTATGATACTTAGATGTACAGCTTAGTGCATCAGTATCCTTAAATATATTAACAAACTGCAGGATATACAGTACAGGCCAAAAGTTTGGACACACCTTCTCATTCAATGCTTTTTCTTTATTTTCATGACTATTTACATTGTAGATTCTCACTGAAGGCATCAAAACTATGAATGAACACATGTGGAGTTATGTACTTAACAAAAAAAGGTGAAATAACTGAAAACATGTTTTATATTCTAGTTTCTTCAAAATAGCCACCCTTTGCTCTGATTACTGCTTTGCACACTCTTGGCATTCTCTCCATGAGCTTCAAGAGGTAGTCACCTGAAATGGTTTCCACTTCACAGGTGTGCCTTATCAGGGTTAATTAGTGGAATTTCTTGCTTTATCAATGGGGTTGGGACCATCAGTTGTGTTGTGCAGAAGTCAGGTTAATACACAGCTGACAGCCCTATTGGACAACTGTTAAAATTCATATTATGGCAAGAACCAATCAGCTAACTAAAGAAAAACGAGTGGCCATCATTACTTTAAGAAATGAAGGTCAGTCAGTCCGGAAAATTGCAAAAACTTTAAATGTGTCCCCAAGTGGAGTCGCAAAAACCATCAAGCGCTACAACAAAACTGGCACACATGAGGACCGACCCAGGAAAGGAAGACCAAGAGTCACCTCTGCTTCTGAGGATAAGTTCATCCGAGTCACCAGCCTCAGAAATCGCAAGTTAACAGCAGCTCAGATCAGAGACCAGATGAATGCCACACAGAGTTCTAGCAGCAGACCCATCTCTAGAACAACTGTTAAGAGGAGACTGCGCCAATCAGGCCTTCATGGTCAAATAGCTGCTAGGAAACCACTGCTAAGGAGAGGCAACAAGCAGAAGAGATTTGTTTGGGCCAAGAAACACAAGGAATGGACATTAGACCAGTGGAAATCTGTGCTTTGGTCTGATGAGTCCAAATTTGAGATCTTTGGTTCCAACCGCCGTGTCTTTGTGAGACGCAGAAAAGGTGAACGGATGGATTCCACATGCCTGGTTCCCACTGTGAAGCATGGAGGAGGAGGTGTGATGGTGTGGGGGTGTTTAGCTGGTGACACTGTTGGGGATTTATTCAAAATTGAAGGCACACTGAACCAGCATGGCTACCACAGCATCCTGCAGCGACATGCCATCCCATCCGGTATGCGTTTAGTTGGACGATCATTTATTTTTCAACAGGACAATGACCCCAAACACACCTCCAGGCTGTGTAAGGGCTATTTGACCAAGAAGGAGAGTGATGGAGTGCTGCGGCAGATGACCTGGCCTCCACAGTCACCGGACCTGAACCCAATCAAGATGGTTTGGGGTGAGCTGGACCGCAGAGTGAAGGCAAAGGGGCCAACAAGTGCTAAACACCTCTGGGAACTCCTTCAAGACTGTTGGAAAACCATTTCAGGTGACTACCTCTTGAAGCTCATGGAGAGAATGCCAAGAGTGTGCAAAGCAGTAATCAGAGCAAAGGGTGGCTATTTTGAAGAAACTAGAATATAAAACATGTTTTCAGTTATTTCACCTTTTTTTGTTAAGTACATAACTCCACGTGTTCATTCATAGTTTTGATGCCTTCAGTGAGAATCTACAATGTAAATAGTCATGAAAATAAAGAAAACGCATTGAATGAGAAGGTGTGTCCAAACTTTTGGCCTGTACTGTATGCTGCAGTTGCTAACCTGTTTCAGTGGTGAAAAGTAACAATAACACAAGTACTGTACTTAAAGGAATACTTTACCCACCAAAATGATTATTTGTATATAAATTACTCACCCTGTGCTATGCTGAAATCATGAAGAAAATATTGTTTTTCTGGCATCTGTTTACAAACTCTCACACAACTCCAATACAATCCACATCTCATTTATCCAGGTGTACACTCACTACTCAATACATTCTCACTCCCAACTTATCAAACACTGACGCTTGGTAAGTGGCCCTACACGTCCAACTATGACACTCTAGGTACCCCTCCAGTAGGGCTGCCCTCTAATAGTGGACCAAATGTTAGTCAACCAACCAGAAAGTTCATTAGTTGGCAAGATTTCATTGGTCGCTTAGTCGCAGAAAAGAGAAAAAAAAATCGTGAAACTCTATTAGGAGCTGCACCTTGTCAAAATAAATCAAAACCTATATGACTGGACCATGTGGGAATTTAATTTGAAAGTAGTCAGACAGGAGTCACATTACAAACCAATCACAGCCGACAGATATCTTTCCCTTCCTCTGTAAATATTCAGTCTGATAAACACGAAAAAAGTTGATCATGTTAGTGCAGGGCTACATGGTAGTGTAAGGCTACAGCTTTACATCTGCCCCACAGACGATGGGCCTACACACTTATAAACAGCGCCTGGAAGAAGATCAGCTCTGCACTCAGGGTTTCAGGTAAATAGGCTTTACGATGCTTGTTAAGGTTGCTTAGCAGCCTCAGATGCAACCTGCTGCCGCGCTCTTGAAAGTTGGCACAGAAGAGGCACAAGAGTAGCGCCCAGCGCCCGACCTCACATTTTCCAGGCGGTTAAAAACATGGCATGTGTATGGCCCCTAATTTACAGGGCTGGTACCTGTGGTTATTACACACGCTAGTTGATAACATGTCGGGCAGGAAATCCAAAGTGTGGGATCATTTTGAGAAGGCGAAGGACGAACCCAAGGTGATATGTAAACTCATCTTCATTGGTCAACTACTAACATGACATATCATCTGAAACATGGAAGCAGCTACATGCCCATTAGCCACTTAGCACAGTCATTACTGCTTTGCCAACAGTGTTGTTAACAGGCGGCTCGCTCAGTGTGTGACGTGCACTTGTAGATAAAATATAGGCCTATATTAATGAAGGTTCATTAGTACGGTTTTGTATTTCTCTGTAATGTAGCACAGTGTTAACAATGTTACTGATACTATTCTTTCTCACACCTTGAACTCAAAACGTTGTGTTGCCCCGCCCATAATATATAATTTAATAATCAAATTAATATTGTAAACATGTGGGCGACTAATCAACTAACAACTGGTCGATGAGGAATATTCTAAGTCGGGGGCAGCCCTACCCTCCAGCATCAGTTTTGGACTCTCAGGGATGTCATGTCAATGTCAACTCATTACATGCATCATTTCTTCTAATTGTAAATGTACTGTTGATGTTTAATAGGCATACAATCTCTTAAAAAAATAAATAATTATAATGTCATTGGGCATATGTCACTGGTGTAATATGCCATACATACATAAGAATACTAGGTTGTTATTAAAATAGGTTGGTTGACTTTTGGTTTCACATGGAAAACAAACAGCTATCACCCGGATGACAGCCCAGAGTTTGTTTTACCCAGACGTCAGCAACTTTTACTAGCAAATGAGCCATATTTGACCAAACATAGTTAAAGGAGCAATAAGCGAAATTCATCATTTCTAGATTGAAGGAATTAAAAATTTGCTATGTGAAGAACTAGAGGTGTAATTTCATCTGGAGTATAGCATGACCTCACACAACCTCTCTCTGTGTTGATCTCCAGCCCCTTGTTTACAAGCCGGTCCGGCTGCGCGTTCATGTACATGTACATTGATGTGAATCGCCACCTCCTCCCTCCTCTCGGAGCCCTTGGCCCTCCCTCCCTATAAAAGGCTACAGCCAGTGAGCAATGGCAGCGCGTATTTTCGAAGTGAAATGGCAGAGTCGAATGTCTGTTTTAATTAGTGTTACAGTAACATTAGGCACATGTCGCTATGTCGATTCAATTAAATTTAATGTTACAATCGTAGCATGGGTGAATGTCCAGAGCTTGAGTTATTAGCGGCTCGGTCCCAGCAATGGGTCAGGCGTTATGGTTGTGTTAGGTGAGTAGCCCGGCAGCCCAACTAACATTTGCAAGCATTGTAAAATGTAGCCCGGCGGGCAGCCTGGCGGCTGTGTTTAGCTATTCCCCTGCCTACTTCAATGATGATGGTACCTGTAATAAATGTAATATATTTGCTGAGATGGAGGCGAGGCTCAGTGACTAGAAGAACTGGTAGAAGCGCTCCATAGCTGTAAGTTACTCCAGTAGCCGTAGTAGCTCTAGTGCTAACACCAGGAGCTAACGCTAACGTCCTTACTCTGCGTGAGCCGGAGCCATGAGCCGCGGGCTCACGGGCTCACGGAGAAGAGTAGGACCTTTAGCGTGGCAGCCGACTAGTGCTAATGCTAACAGGAAAGCAGGGAAATAGCTAAACACAGCAGAGACTGAGAGTGAGTGAAAGACATTGCTAACTGCTAAACTAAGCCAAACTAAGTTGGCTGTTTAGGTTTTATTTCCTCGCCCCTGTGGCGAGTGAATCTGCCTGCAGTGAAAGCGGGGGCTAACCGGTGCTTCCTCCTCAGGCTCCACTTCACTCAGCTGCCAGCACAGCCAGTTAGCCTCCGCTAGCTTCCCAGCTAATGTTAGCTCCGGCGAGGTGAGTGGGGTGGGGGGTGGAGAGCAGAGGTAGAGGGAGGTGTGGCTCATGACACACTTTGTTTTGGTCTACAGGCAGTGCACAACAGCAAACCTAGCGGTGAAACAATTTCGCTTTTTGCCCCTTTAAAAAAAATTCGCCTGGAGCCACAAAACATATTTGAGCCTCCTGGTTTTACTGCGTATTAAGTCTAAATCAGACTTTCAACATTAAAATAGGTCTAAATCAGCATTCAAAAGTATGTTTTACCACAAGATGGCTCCTCTGCAGTGGGCAATTCAGCTGACAAAATGTTACAACTTTTTTTTTAAATTCAGTGCATAGGCTACACATTTTACAGTTGGGGAAGGTATGAATTCCTTTAGATCTACAATTATGATAAAAAAAAAGTTTAATAAATAACCGTTATTTCATTCATTCATCTTCTAACCGCTTCATCCTCTTGACGGTCGCGGGGGGCTGGAGCCTATCCCAGCTGACATCGGGCGAGAGGCAGGGTACACCCTGGACAGGTCGCCAGACTATCGCAGGGCTGACACATAGAGACAAACAACCATTCACGCTCACATTCACACCTATGGACAATTTAGAGTTATAAATTAACCTCAATCTGCATGTCTTTGGACTGTGGGAGGAAGCTGGAGTGCCCGAGGAGAACCCACGCTGATACGGGGAGAACATGCAAACTCCGCACAGAAGGGCTCCCACACCCGGGATCGATCCAGCAACCCTCTTGCTGTGAGGCCACCACACCACCGTGCCGCCCATAACTGTTATTTGTTTTGTGATTTTTTTTCTTTTATTGTAAAACCCACAGGAAGCCACTGTAGAGGGGCTAAAGAGCTGCATATGGCTCCAGAGCCGCAAGTTGTCTACCCCAGGTTTAACCCATCCACCTCTACACCTGCTTGGCTGATGTGGATTGTCTCACTCTTTATACTAAAATAGTTCCGCCGAATGTCAAAAAATGCCCCTGCCTGGTGCGTCTCATACTGCTTCTAAGAGGTGACTCATTTGCTCTAATGGCCATTGACTAGGCATCGGCATTTGATGAGTTGGGAGTGAGACCAGGTTTCAGTACTTCCCAAACAGACAGCCCTTTCTGATGTGAAAAGTTAAACATATCAGTGTTGCCCTCAAAGCCAGACCCCATTGACAAAAACTGTAATTTTACGTCACTGAACACAGGAGCTGCTGATCCACCGCTACCTTTATTAGTTGCTTTGTTTGTGTTATTGTGTGACTTTGGTGAATCCAAATTAACTCTTTAAAAACCCCAAAGTCACACAATAACACAAACAAACTAACTGATCGAGGCAGTAGTAGACCAGCAGCTTCTGAGTTCAGTGGGGTAAAATTGGTGTTTTTGTCAGTGGATCTGGCTTTGAAGAGAGCATAGATAAGTGTCTATCTGTTTGGGAAGTACTGAGCATATGACTGGAAAAATGAGACTTTGATTATACCGCACGGGTTGTGTGAGAGTCAGTAAACAGATGTTTTGATACAGTTTTGCTGTTGTCAAAAAAACATGGACCCCTGTTACTCCAATTCATCAAGAATTTTCTATGTTTTTGGATTCTTCATTCATAGTGGAAGCATTTGAGAAAAAAATGTTTACTTCAAGAATTCAACATAACACAAGGTGAGTACACAAACGTTCATATTGGGTGTGAAGTTTTCCTTTAAGTACTAGGGGGGATACTGTGCGTTATACTCCACTACAATTATTCAAAAGTTGTAGTTACCTTCCAGAGTCAAATGTTACATTAAAAACCATATAAACAGCTTATAAAGTACAATGTATTGTCAAGACCAAACCCAACCATGTTTGCCTGTGACCTCTTACATTAGTCAGTGTGCAGTTTGGGCCCTTATCAAGTTTCATATGTCTATGAGTGTTTAGCAGTTTCACCAAAGAGAATGCAGAGTGAGTACTTTTACTTCTACCTCAAAGCACTATGCAAAAAGCAAAGTACAGCCTGACAGAGCTGCGAGCATGGTTGTAGACTTGTTGACCTTAATTGAGTGCACACTCTTTTGCCCTGCTTCATTCCTTTTATTTATTCAACTAAATTTTTAAGTACAAAGTAGTACAAGCCAGCAGTGGCACAAAAAGCTGCTTTAAAGCCAAAAACAACCCAGCTACCAAAAATAAAGCCTGACCTTGACAGTTACAAATGAAAGAATCTGCTCATACTCAGCCCAAGTTAATTCCACGTCTTGGCAAGCTGTTTTCATCATTAAGTCCAACAAGAAAGGCCCAGCTGGCCTAAGAGCCCTCAACACTGAACTGGAGAGCAACTTGTCTGGTTTCCACGGTAACTGGTGGCAACTGAGTTGAGGTGAACGTGAGGTGTACTGAAAAGAATTTAATCAGAGTCTGTTTGCTCATAACGTACAGGTGCTACCACTGGTTTTCTTTGTACAGATACTAGGTAGGTTAGGTTAGGTTAAGTTCTTTGAGATTATATGACGAGGTTCTCCTGAATGCATCTTACTGTATTATGCAAAAGACTCCATGGGTGGAATGGAATATGTAGCTTGAATGACAACAACACAAGTCATTCGAGGGCATCTGCTTTTCTTCTTTAAGCAAAAAAGAACACTTCAGTGCTCCTTTTAGGAAAGATAAACGAGCTGGGGAGCTGAGGTATAACTTGGGGATATGGGTTTTATTATGACTGGATGATAAAAGGGTCACAAATTCACAAACTATTTGTGTTTACTTGTATTTTCCTTACACTTCATGTCCTTTTTATTACATGCTGCAATCTTCTTACCTTACTAACAAATGTGTCTGCACTCCTCTTTCTATTTATTGCAATACAGTTCCATCCTGAAACTAAGATAATTCTCTCATGGCTGTGGCTTCATTTTCAAAGGGAAACTTAAGTATTTTTCAACCTGTTCCTTATTTACTCATGTGTTTATGTCCAAGTGACTGATGGGAACAACAATTTTTGAAATTGATCCATTACTGAGCAAGACCAGTGCAGCTGGCAGCTGCAAAACAGGTTGCAATTTAACCACCTTGAGCATGTTCGCACCGTCAATTTACATTCACTAAAAGTGTTTGTTTTTACCGCTGACAGGCTCAGAATGTTATTCTAAGTGTCTGACAACATTATGTAAAGGATCCCTACAGATATCGATCTTTTTTTTTTAAAGAGTAAGATCCTTTCTTATTAATCCAGAAACAGACGTGAAATTGCAATCGCCAAACCCGCAAGACTCCATTTTATTAATATGAAACACTATTTATTCAAAAGTCACAAAATCATCAATCACAAAGTCATCTTGGTTCGTCTTTCCAATGTTACAACAATCACCAGCTCCCGTTTGTTTTCACCCTTAATTCACGTAGTTAGATGTGGAAATATGCTAAAATTACTGTATATAAATACTTATATTGATAGTCCAATATGTAAAAAATTATGTGTTTGTCCCTGGCTTCAATTATTCAGTTTTCACAGACTGGACTCTTAAGCGTTTCAAATACATAGGTGGTCTATACCTTGATGGGCACTTCATGTTGTTTGAGCAGTTGCAGAGAGCATGTAATATCCTATCCTCCATTTTTTTCAGGTACTTGCAAATCCGTGATTTCATTGGGGAAAATGTGACCAATTTGAAAAAATATGTTCCTATGACTCTCTTAAGAGTATCAATAACTTTAATCCTTGTAGTAAGGGAGCACTTTCCCACTTTTATTGCATTATACAAAGGCACACTGATGTCAACACAAATGCACTTGAGCAGAACTGTGAGAGTGAACTGGGTGGGGATCTAGGCAATGAGAATGGAAGGAGAGTCTTAGTAGCATGCATAAATGTTCAGTTAACTCTAAACACAGTCTGATACAATTTAAAACAGTACATCAGTTATCCTACTCCAATGACAGATTGTATAAGATTTTCCCTGATGTTTCCCCCCTCTTTAGTAGGTGTAAAGAGGCAGCTAGGACATTAACACATTCTCTTTGATCATGCTGGAAAGAGAAGAGTTTACTTATTGAAAGAATATATTTGAATGTTTCTCTAATGCCTTTCAGAAGACGTGGGAACCTAACCCACCAGTTGTTGTCCTAGGTGCCACGAGTGTGTTACCCTTGGCAGACAAGTATGACACTGAGGTTGTTTCATTTGCTGTGGTTGTGGCAAGGAAACTTATTTTACTTATGCGGAAGTCTGACTGTGCACCAACATATGCCAAGTGGATAAAAGAGCTGATGAATGTTTTGAAAGGATGCTATTTTTCACCATTTTGTGACACTTTATATAGGCTACTAAATGATTCATCCACTGATAAAGAAAATAGTTAGATTATTTAATGATAAAAATAATCCTTGGTTTACACCCTGATCTGAGCATCCCATTATTCTATTCATATTCATTATTCATCCCATTATAGAGGTTCCTAAGGACACACATTGTCATGTTTTCAAAATAAAACCTCTGCACTTACACTGCTACTACAATAATTCCTTATGTTTTATCTTGACAAATACCATATTTAGTTTTAAATTAAGCAAAAATCTCTGCCTACCTTCAAGTGATGCGTCAAAGCCCATGTCCTCGATAGCTGCCCTGACCTGCTCCTGCTCCGTCAGACTGGGGTCAAAGGTTATTATTCCCTTTTCCTCCTTCAGTGACACTACTATGGACTGCACTCCTGTCATCTGAGAGATCCTCCCTTCTATGGACTGCACACAAGAGTTGCAAGTCATCCCTACAATCCAAACGGTCACAGTGAAGCTCAATATGTCCCTCTGCCAGTAGCTTATATCACATTCAGATGGATCATCGGTTAATAAAGTAGCACCAAAACCCATGTCCTCTATGCTGTCTCTCAGCTCCTGTTGTGTTACTACAAGAGGTTTATATATAATAAGTGCTACAGCATCTTGAAGGGACACTTGAATATGTGAAACCCCAGGTAGAGGACCAATGTGCCCCTCAATGGACTGCACACAGGACTGGCAGTGCATACCATCCACCCTGATCTGCACCGCCGACTCTACATTGAATCCCACTCTCTGGAGCTCCAGGGCAATCTCTTTGGCTGTGATAACTGAGGTATGATAGTCCACTTTGGCCATGCTGCTGGGAAAAGACAAGCTGCCAGCAAGAACTCCATTCAGACTGCAGATTCTGCTCTCGATGGCTTTGGCCTGGTGCTCTGAGGTGAGTCCCAGGAGTTTAAAAGTTGTTCTGGAGGCAGTTTTGGGTGGAGGGTAGAGCTCACTCTGACTCCCATACTCGTAAGCCAAGTTGTCAAAGCCTTGTTTCTCGATGTCAGGGCCATTCTCCTGAGAAGATGAGAGAAAATTCAACACTTTTACTCTTATAATCTTCAGGACTGTATAAAAAAATTGTGACTCATATGTGCCCTGTTGTATCTCAAAATAGTATAATGGTAGTGACTTCCTGCTAGCTCCACAAGAAATTTATTGTGCAGCTAGCAGGACGCCAGCATGTTTTCTACTGGCTGCATTTGCTCAGGACCACAGACCTCAAACACTTTCATTTCCTGTTTCATCAAAGCAAGCATGCCAACCATGCTTTCTTTTTCTCCTTTTATCCCCAGGTAAAGACATACAGGTGGAAATGATTTAAGCCAACCATCATTTGACTACTCGACAAGCCCCTCTTGGTATCACATATATGTCTGCTGATACACCTGCTGTCTCCCCATCTATACTTGCGCTGTTTTGCAACGTCCACTTACAAATGAGATGTCTAGAAATGATCAAATAGTATAACCAAAACACAACTGTTAAGTCATTTTTCAAAACCAAAACCAGATTATAAGACAAATTAAGAACACGTCTATGAGCCTGTTTACACCTGGCATTAACATGCGTCTCCACATGTCTCGAGTGACCACCTGTGAGGTCACTTCCCTGCTCTATATGCAAATGAACAAGTGAATCATTTCTGTTTGCAAAGGCAAAATGTGTTGTTGTTTTTAACCGGCATGAGGTGTGTCATGTTATGCACACATTTACAGCCATTAGTATTCAAAATGAGTAAATCTTAATTTTATTGTAGAGCTGGGTGCAGCGCATGAATTTGCTCAGCCCCTCCTTGTCCCGCCCTCTCTCTCCCAGTTTATTATGAGACAAGCACATACCACCAGCCCTTCTCCTCCTCTGTCCTAGGAGACGACTGCTGCAGGAACGTTCAGTTATGCCCAGCACGGATGATCCCACAATGATAGGAAAGCGTTTGGATCTTTGATACTCTGTACAGTTTCTCCTCACAGCAAACCAATATTCTCCCAAACTGTAGGGGGCAGTGTATCGAAAACTCAGGTCTACAGCATGGTTTTCCACCTGTCTGTGTCCGTGTCCATGTCTGATGGTGTGATGTCACTTTGGCTGTGGGAAGTCTCATGACCACAGGGTGCGTCCCAAGTCTCTTAAATTACTGCTAGTGCTACTGCTAGCTGACTTTGCTAGCTGTTTAGCCCCTCCCACCTAGGAAAAAATGTGAGGAGCTAGCGCTAGGAGCGATGAGCGAGCATTGTCGGTTTAAGAGACATGAGATGGCCTTAGTCTGAAGCGTCACGTGAAGCAACGTCCATTCCTGATGACGGCGGCACAGCTGGATCTGTTGCATAACGGAGCCAGTGTTTAGCGTACATCCCAAGTCCCATTATACATTATATTCGCTGATCAAAGCCGTAACCCCCCCCCCACCACCACCATCATGACTTTGGTCACACACTTTTGCATGTATTACCATTGTTATTGAGACATTTGCCGAAGTTTGTCACAATTACAGAACGGTCTGTAGCCTGTAAATGACCTAAATTACGATGTTTGTTCAGTTTATTAATGCTTTCTTGTGACCTATGTTGATTTTGTCTCATTTTGTGAAATTATAAAATGGGTGCTTTTATTTTGAAGGTGCATTTATTTTGAAGGCAGAATGCGGTAGGAAGTAAAAGACGTGCACGACGGTAGATGTTTACAAGTGCTTCTTCCAGACGAACGAAAATGCCATGCTTTTGTTAATTAGCACCTGGTTGAAAAGGGCACAAGGTTTGTCGGTTTATATGTCATTTG